GTACACAATGTGGGATTTAATGTTTTTCCTTCTTTAATGGAATTCCTTATATGACAGAAAGCGACAAGAAGAAGACACCATCCGAGGGGGACGTCGGCCTGGCAAGGCTCCTGGGCTCAGCATCCTGGGCGCGCTCGGCCTTGAGGCTCCTCTCAGTGGGCTGTGCTGGGGTGGCTCCTCCGGGGGGGCCGGGAGCTCCGCTTCTGTAGTCTGCGCTTGTAGGTGGCGGCTGGGTGAGGGGAGAGGGAACAGGCCTGGTGAACACCCCCCCACGGGGAAGAAGGCAGGCCAGATAGCCTCTCCCTGTCTTGCCCTTTCTCTGCCACCCGGCTCCCCTCCCTGCAGAATTCACCGCTAGTAAAGGCAGTCTGAGGCTTTATTCCACCTCCTGGTTTTGACTTTCTTTTTGAAACAACCTGGACTAAGGGGCTTGGGGCTGTTGAAAAGGAAACTGGGCTACCCTGGCCAATTTTGCTCAGTGGTTAGAGCGTTGGCCCGCAGACGGAAGAATCGGGGGTTCGATTCTGACCAAGGACATGTACCCCTGTTGTAGGCTCTATCCCCGGTCCTGGTCGGGGTGCGTGTGAGAGGCAACCAATTGATGTGTCTCTCTCACATCAATGTTTCTCCCCCCACCCTTCTACTCTCTGAAAAAAATATCCTCAGGTGAGAATTAAATTAAAAAAATTAAAAAAACAAAAGGAAATCGGGCTGCCTGCTTTCTCCTTTGTCCCTGGGGACGAGGGGGGTAGTGACAGGTGACCTTGTCCACAGGTGGTGCTGACTGTGTGGGTGCAGGACCCTCAGGAGAGGGGACAGGGAGGAGGACCTGTGGGGGGGCTGGGACGCTGTACCCAGCGATGGGTGAGAGGGACAATGCTCACGGTCCGTGCAGGTGATCCGAGGCTCCTCCCACTGCCCGCTGGGCAGGCACCGGATGGTGGGCACGTGGCGCTGGACGAAGCCCTCGGTGCACTGGTACCGCACCAGCGAGTTGATCTCGTACCGGTCCTTCTTCTGGCCGAACGTCCTGGCGTGCTCCACCACGGGGGGCTCTCCGCAGGCCACTGAGGGGCAAACACCCTTCAGAGAGGGCGCTCGGGCCGGGGGGGGGTGTGTGTGGTGTTTCTTGCGATGCCCCATGACTGTGACAAGCCAACATGGTCCCCTCTGGCTGTGACCATCGGCGACCTACTTACTGGTGCCAGGGAAAGTGGGGCCTGAATGGTCCCTAGGAGAGGACTTGCTCTTGCCATTGGCCATGGGAGGCTGATTCTGAGAGCGCTCCCCCCCCCCCC